GATCCGATTTACAGAGAAATTGCGAAGCGTATAAACAAAAGAATAGCATATAAGAGGCGCAATACTATTTACAACATTCTGCGCAATAGCAAAGACAACATAGACGAAAGGTATGCACCGGGAGTGTATTCTGTCCCGTTAAGAGACCATAGATTTCAAAGGGATCTTATATATATTGGCTCCACCATACGCTCTCTGGATAAACGTATGCGCGAACACAAATATGACATTGAACACAACAGATGCACCACTGCCCTATCTACGTATGCTTCGACCCCTGGCATAAGTGCTAACTTGCAGAACGCGCAAATCATTAAAATGTCACACAGAAGAGAACACGTACGAACGCTAGAAGCTTTGGAAATTTATAAAGCAGGATTACGTAATAGCTGTATCAACTATAAAGATGCTATTAATATTTCGGCAGCTTGGAGGTTTGCGTATGAAGCAGAATGCCCCCACAACTCTATGTAAGGTGTTATACATCGTTTACATGTATATGTAAAATAATATTTGTGAATATTTGGGTTCACGTACGTAATGACTAATACGCATGCGCGTAATGAATTTTATACGCAAAGATGTATATGTTCCAAAATGTTTAAATATTTAAGCACAACGATTTTCGAATATCAGAATTTAAAACCTGAGGAAGACTGAGAAAGCAGTCGAAAACGTTAGTTGTTTTCATTAAATATATTTTTACTGGTCAAGTAAAGGTTTTTATGTGTGTTTATATTAAGTAAATTGGACCAGTACCAGGTGAGAAGTAACTTTTATTTCATTTTCTATTAGAATTTGTTAAATAAATATGTTGCCTTCCTACCTTACTTCACAGTATTTATTAATTTTATGTTCTTTCCCTACGTTTTCAGAAGTTTTCAAATAGTAACTGTGAGGGCAGTTATTATTTCAAACTTTAAGGATAAGATGCAATTTACTATTATTTGAATAAAACTTGTATTTGTATATTTCATTCTTACATGCCTAAAGATGTAATCTTAAAAATTTTTAATTTTTTAAGCAATTTTCACATTTATTGGTTTTTTCCAAAACTTTCAACTTTTTCTTTGTGCAGTTGAATGCAGATTTTTATTTTTTATAAAAGTGAAAATTTTTACATCTGAAAATGTATATTTAAATCTGTCCTATGGACACTAAGGAGGCTTTTTTCAGGCCCTTTATGATTTGACCAGATCCATTATGGGACACCTAGGTGATGAGGGATGAGGCTTGATGAATCTGGGACAGACTATCCTTGAAAATTATCTGGGATTGGCTTGCCCAGATTTGAACCTAGGTTCTCAGAGCAGTAGGCTTCCATCTGTCATCTTTTTGGATATTTATGATTAATATTTATTGCATTCTAAAAAAATATAATCAAATTGTTCTTCAGATAAGATAATTTTACAAACTTTAAGGAAATTATTTTATATTTTATATTTTTCTAGCTTTTAAACTATTTCAGTGTTTTTACATGTGATTCATAAAATTGCTTTTAAAAATCTAATTGTTTTAATGTTAAAAAATTTTATAAATTTTATTTTTTCTGAAAATTAGCATTTATATATTTTGAAATATTGGTTTTAAAAATTTGATTTAAAAAGTTTATTTAGGAATCAGATTATACAATCTGGAAATAAAAACACAAAATTTTTATACTTAATTGTTATTAAGTATTTATTTGTCTTTTCAACATTTTTTAATTTTTGATATTACATATTATAAACAGGCAGTTGATCAAGTTGGAGCTACTGCAACAGTTATATATGTTCCTGCACCTGGTGCTGCCAAAGCTGTTTTAGAAGCTATGGAAGCAGAAGTGCCATTGATAGTTTGTATAACAGAAGGTATACCACAGCAAGATATGGTTAGAGTCAAGTATGCTTTAACTCGACAAAACAAATCTCGTTTAATTGGGCCAAATTGTCCAGGCATTATTAAGGTATATTAAATTTTCTAATTTAAGATAAATTACATTAGTTATTAGTTATTAGCATTATTATTAGTAATGCTGCTTCATTAATGGATTGTATTTAAAAAGTAAAACTTAACAAAAACTATATATAACATAATTTAATTTTTGCAATTTACATTCATGCTAATACTGAAGATCTCTTAATGAGAAGTTAATGTAAGAAACTCAAATTCCAAATGCTTTGTCCAAAGTCTCTATTGAGAAAGATTAATCTTTTGAATAGTTCAATCAAAACAGATAAATTTCTTTTTAAAAATTGTTGCATATGCAAAAGTATTTAGGTTGATTTTAATAAAATAAGTAACCTTAAATGCTCTTTCATTGCATAGTGAATTATGGTCACACTTTTAATAAGATAGCTTCAACTAAAAATATTTATTGGATGTTTTAAGGAGAGTAAATAATTTGATTTTATCTCATAATATTAAAGTAATCAACTTAGTAATGGTCTTCTCACTGGTTATATCTTATTTGTCATAAAATTTTTTTTGAAAGCTCTTCTTGTTGCTCTAATACAGTCTAGGGTTAAAATTTGCATATTGAGAGGAATAAGGTGTATTTCTGATTTGTCTGTTAAATTTTGTCCTTTTATATCATTATAACAGGAGTTTTTTTAGATTTAGGGAAATGTAATTGTAACTTTACGGCAAGATTTTGTTGGCCTGCAATTTTCAGATCGCAGACCTATACATTCTCACTGTCCATCCATCCTTCATTAATCTCAAGAATGGAGTTACATAGATGAAAATTGAGACCAGATTATGGACTGGAGTCCTGATTAACTATATATAAACTTCTATTCTGGACCATTACGTGATTTTTTAAATTAAAAGATGATTAAAAATTGCAGTTCAACATTGTGACAATGTCACAGTAATATACATTTTGTGTACATATCACAATATACATTTGATTTGTTAACTTTAATACATCTTAACTAAATTGGTCAGTAAATAATAGAAGAGTTTTTGTAAAACATTTATTTTTGGTAAATTGATATTGCCAGATGTTGACAGATAGGAATAATTTTTTTAGTAACTTCTAGCTTTTCAATTAATAATCTCAATTATTTTGAAATGATTAAGCTAATATATTNATTGCTTTATGATCTGAATCAGGGACAAGGCCTCTGATGCTGCAACTGGGTCATTTGTTTCTTCGTGAAGATCCAGAAGGGCGTCACAAACTGAAGAGTAGTGATAATGAACTGCAGCAAGACTAGAAACTCTACTCTCCCACAATGAGTTCCACAAACTGTTTTCAGCGATAGTCCTTCTATGTGCTTGGATATCACTTCCTATCACTTTGTTGATGCAGAGCATAGAACAAACAGTCTTTGAAGAAATCCGAACAAAGAAACCAATTTAACAGATGTTTTAGCGGCATCTGCTATTACCAAATTTAAGCAATGACAGCCATGTGGATTAAAAATGCTTGTGGATATTGGTTCAGAATTTTGCTTTGGACACCTTTGTTTATTCCTACCATATTCGATCCATTATCATATCCTTGGCCTCGACAATCATTCATATCCAACTCGAACTCTTGCACAATATCATCAAGAAAGAGGCCATTGAGTCTAGCTTCTGAAGAGCACTTACCGGCTTGTAAGTAACGAAACACTTACGCAATTGGACTTTACTTTCATTAATGTCAACAAAATGCAAAGTTAAAGATAACTTGTTCTTTCAAACACCATAACTGTGTATTTCTATTAATAGGACTAATTATACTGGTGTATAGAATTATAGCAACACAGTCACACAGATTAAAATTGGTTTATTTATTTTTACCTGTAATTATTATACTGGTGTATAGAATTATAGCAACACAGTCACACAGATTAAAATTGGTTTATTTATGATTATTTATGATTACAGGTAATCATAAATAATCATAAATAAACCAATTTGTGGAATTTAAAATGTATTGGGTATAGTAATGTTGTTTGATTACAAATTAGATATCTTCATTAGAATGAAAATTTCTAAGAATTCAACTTGGAATCAAACTTGGAATAATATGAATATGTACTGAAGATAATATGTATAAAGAATAGACAAAGTTTGTTCTTTATACATATTATCTTCTATAGCTATTTTGTTATGTTTCCAACAACCAATTTTTTAGTGATAAAAAAAAATGTTGTTTAGTTTATTTCAAGTTGGCTGATAGTATTTACATTTAATAAAATATAGTAAAGATAAAAAGATACTAAATATCACCAGGAAGATATTTTAATCAATTTGCATTATTCAGAGGCATAGTCTCCATAAAAACAGAAATGACTATGGAACTAACAGAGACACTTGTGAAGACTGATAGCTAGTGCAGTGCTTAAAATAGGGAAAAAATAAATCTCTTACTTTTTTGTGGTCCTACCATCCAGAACTATTCCAACTGGTCTCAAATTACTACAGAAGAAATTTGAACTTGATATATTAATATTTAGAGGTAGCTCAATGACCACAAAGTTTATAAAAAGAGCAATTTATGACAAATGAAAACATACAAGACCAGTTTTGATTAACCAGACTTGTTTCACTTTTTTGGACAATTACAGACAAATTAAATAGTCATGTAGACTCTACAATATTCAAAAGCTTGATAGATTACAAACCAAAAATGAATGAAAAAATTTTTAAACCTCACAATTCACAAAATTTGAAATTTTCAGTACAATGTTCAATGCAACTTTATCAGTTTATTTTGGTATAGGCAGAAAGTGTCTCTTTCTTGCTGTCTGAATAAGCATAACAGTGCTGTTGAACAACTTGCAGCAAATACTGAAGTTCTAATTCATCATGAGTTTTTAGGCCACTGAATTCCTAGATGAGTGTGACCATGTGTTCTGTGTGGTCATTAACAACTTTAATGACATGTACTGACTCTGCAGCCTTCTGATAGTCTTCTCTATCTTTCCAAGGATCAGGATCTACAGTGTGAAATGTATCTGGAAGTTCCATTAATTCAAATACTCTGTGACTTTACAGTAATAAAACACTCAAGATTTTTTCCCATGAATGTGTCCAAGTAACACTGATTCACTTAATGTGACCCTGTTCAGTGTTGCCATCATTTTGCATCACTGTAATCATTAGCCTCTTTGTAGCAGAACTTACATGGTTATCGAAAAAAGCAAAAGCAACCAAATCTGGTGACAAATACCATAAGTGTTTAAAAAATTTGAGAGATGCAGCCTCGGATATTGTCATATTGATTGCCGAGTATTCAAGAAGTGATTTCAGAAGTTGAAGATTGTTGTTAGGAGCACTGGCTGCCAATGGAGCTGAAATCCAGGCTTTCAAGTACACATGTGCAGCAAAGACACACACATCCTGTAGTCCCAAGGTCACCAAACTTTTTTGATTGTTGTCCCCCAACAAGTTTTCAAAACATCACATCAACCCCCACCAAAAAGTTTGTATTACAAGCAAAACAAAGTACTTACTATTTTAATACATTTCTTTTAATTTGCATTTTTTTTCATTTATTGTATATTTGTTAATAATGATTTTTGTAACTGATAATCAGTGAGACAGATAAGCTTGATCCTTAGCTCCCCCTTATCCTTAGCTTAAGCTTGATAATCAACCCCCCCAATAATGTTATATCAACCAGTTTGGTGACCCCAGCGTATTCCCTTGTTGTCTTTTGTTAAGTGGAACTGGCTGTAAACATCCACATTTTCAAACTGTAAATTACCTTCGAGAGTCAGTGTGCATGATGCATGGCTCCAGGTGCCATAAATCGGACCACTCTCTGTGGGATCAAACCAAGAAAGATAATAACAAGTTAAGTGAATTCTCTGTCGTTATCTCTTGGCTGACTGTTTTCCAGATAGCTGTTTGCAAACTCAACAACACCATCTTTGATGTCTTGCAGTGATTTTGATACTGTGTTATTTGTAAATCCTGTTTTACAATTCTGTTGATCAATTAACTGCCAATGATGTTGAAATCACTTAGAGTGGAACTTCCGGTGATGATGTGGATCCTAGACAGACTTCAAACATTGCACCAATGATCAGCTCTATTACATGATGTCTGCATGCTAGTGATAGCAGTTTCTTACCTAGCTTTTGTTCTAAGAGGACACAGGTGCTATCAATCCGGCTAGTGTTGGAGCTTGTTGTATCAAAAGACCATACAAGCCAAATAGCCAATAGGGTCTGATGTAAACAGTCACAATCAGGGTCAGCCCCAATCAGAAACAGGGAAAAACATCAGCAAGATGTCAGCAAAATAATGATCACGAGTCATGACAAAAATTAATTTTGTGCGAATGTCATGTAACTAATGTGTGATTAATTTAATGGTTTATTTTTTGAGATGACCAACTAGTTTTACAAACTGTTGTGCTAAAATGGATACATTGTGGTTCAATCTTGTGATTGCCATATGCTCATTCTTACTATTTGGAACATATAAAATTTCAGTGATGTTGAGCTACCAGTAAATATTCACCAATGGATTAGATTTTTGGCACAAATTTTTTCTATATATATATTTGAATGGAAATAGAGGGTATGAGGTTCACATAAATTGTGGAAATAAGCTCCACACTACTGATTGCTAAAGACTTTTAGTATTTTCTGTACTTTTTAATGTTTAGTTTATATTTCACTACCTTTTTTATTTTATTTAAAGCCTGAAGAGTGCAAGATTGGCATTATGCCAGGACATATTCATCAGGCAGGTAAAATAGGAATAGTATCAAGATCAGGAACATTAACATATGAAGCAGTACATCAGACTACAGCAGTGGGATTAGGGCAGTCACTTTGCATTGGTATTGGCGGAGATCCTTTTAATGGAACTGATTTTATTGATTGCTTAGAAATATTTCTCAATGATCCTGATACTAAAGGTAAATATTTTTTATTCAGTTTTCTTTCTATTCATAACTTATAAGTAACAAATTATACCAAAATGTACAAACTTTAACTAATGTTGCTAATGTGATAACTGTTATTTTGGGCCAAAGTAGTTTTCTTTGAAAATATTGAAAATTGTATTTTACATTTTTTTGGGTCATAAAATCAATTGTTTATTATAGTATTTAAAAAGTTTTTATGTTTGTAATTAGCTGGAGATGTTGCTTTTAGTAATATGTATATATTCATCATATCTAATAAATCATATTAGATTGTGTTAATCCAGTTACTCATGCCAATAAGAAATCCTTCTTTCCTTTCAATATTTTGTATGTTTCACATTTTAAGCTAAGATTTATTTTAATTTTATAAGTTTGTCTACTGCTTCAGTTAATGTTGAAATTGCTATGAAAACCAAGCATTTTCCACATTTATTTTACTTGGAGCAAAATATAAATGTGCTATTACATGAAGTTTTCTGCTACATGAGCACTCATGTTTGTTTATTATTTAATANATTTTTTTTTGGTCATAAAATCAATTGCTTATTATAGTATTTAAAAAGTTTTTATTTTTGTAATTAGCTGGAGATGTTGCTTTTAGTAATATGTATATATTCATCATATCTAATAAATCATATTAGATTGTGTTAATCCACAGTTAGTCATGCCAATAAGAAATCCTTCTTTCCTTTCAATATTTTGTATGTTTCACATTTTAAGCTAAGATATATTTTAATTTTATAAGTTTGTCTACTGCTTTAGTTAATGTTGAAATTGCTATGAAAACCAAGCATTTTCCACATTTATTTTACTTGGAGCAAATATAAATGTGCTATTACATGAAGTTTCCTGCTACATGAGCACACATGTTTGTTTATTACTTAATAGTCATTAGTGACCCAGAAATCAATATGCTATTAAACATTAATAATACAAAGCTGATATCAGCAATATTTGCCAGATACGATCTCTTATTTTTGTAACCACCAAAAAGGGGTTTGTAGGCAAATAAACAAATTTATTATGTCCTTTCAATCCAACATTTACCAGAGGTCAAGAACAGCTCAAAAGACAATTTTAATTCACAGATCTTTAATTATATGCATTTTGTATTGGAGTTTGTACCGATCTTTCCTCAGTGTCGGTGTACTCTGCATCAGTTTTGAGTTTTCTTAATAACCTTACATCAGTTACAGTTACAAACCCTGTTTGGTGGTTACAAAAATAATAAACATTAATATGTAATTATAAATTATTTTCATTAAATTATCAGAATAATATAACCAATAATGGCACAACCAATACATTTGTGAATTTATAATTTTTTAAAAAAATGTTTTTAAATTTTTTTGTAATAATATTTAATCTATATAAAATAAATTTTTATTTTAAAACTTTATACTTATAGGAATAATATTAATTGGAGAAATAGGTGGAGTTGCTGAAGAAAGGGCTGCAGAATATTTAAAAGAACATAATATGGTATGTGAAAACAAAATTCTTATAATTGAGGACAATGCTTTTTGATAAATGAAAAATGATCACCACCAACATTTATATTACTGTAAGATTTCTTTTGAAAGAATTCAACTTCTAAATTAAAACTAAAAAGAAATGAATTCCATTAAACTACATAAACAAAATTACAAGTTCAATACAAACTAATACAGTAAGAATTACAGTAATCATTAAAGAATTACAGTTAGCCTTACAGTTAATCAAAAAACAGATACTAAGAACTAAAATGACTTTAATCAATTGCTAGATTAAAAATGCATTCATATAATCAATCAAATATAACAAACAACTTAGCTTTGGATCTTCTTATCAAATAAACTTAGCTTTGGATCATCTTATCAAATAAACTAATTGCAATAGGAGAAGTCAAGATGATGATGATTTAGTGTATGTTATTTAAATCTTAAATGAATGGAGACAACAATCTAAGAATTTGTTTTGTTTGTTTTTTATGATATGTTTAAAATATTTGTGTAAAAAAAAATGTTTTGTATCTTCAATCATTTTAAATTTTAATGTTTAACCCAGCGTGAGTGAGGTCGGGTATGTCATACCCGAGAAGATTTTAAATGCAGATTATTTAATGTTATTGTTGCCATGCAAATCTTGTTGTCACAGTAGCTGGAGGTAAGGGAGTGGGGGGGCAAGGCGCAGTGTTGAGTTTAGTGTTCTGCCGGTGTCAGCGGGAGATACACACGAGCAAAGGTGGCTGGGGTACGTCACACCCGACCTCATAGTTGGTGTTACATTTTTGAGTTGACAGTAAGTTTATGAGTTATAGTTATTTATAGTATTTTTAGATTTATTTCTAGATTTCTCAAATGATAGTCTTCACATTAGACAAAAAACACATCTTCCAAGGGAAACTCAAAAGTGATTACTGATCAACTGGGAGAACCTTCATTATCTGTTTCCAAAAAAATGGCTAATAAATATGTCAGGTGTGGTGAGTGTACTAAAAAAACAGATAGGAAAACAAAACATTACTGTTTGAAGTGTGAGAAGCCAAAATGTATGAAGCATGCGATTTTTATGTGTGGAGATTGTGCTGATTTGTAGGTGTAATGTTGGTGCTGTGCAAATTGATCTCATAAGACCTTTTAGTTTTTTTTCTATTTTTATAATTGAAAGATACTATAGTTATGTTGATTAACCAAAGAAGTTGTAATTTTGTTAGAATTTTATACGAAAAAATGTTAAACTACCAAAACTTGTACTTTTTCAAAGAAAATATAGACACTTTGTTATTTCAATTAAAAAAAAATGCTTTTCAATCTTAAACATAATATTTTATTTACTCATCTTTTTGAATAGATACTATTCTTATTATCCCAAGTGAAAAAATACTTTATACACAATTAAAGTATAAAAAATTCGGCATCAAAGTTTCGGGTATCTCCTACCCACCTCATAGCTGGTGTAACAATTTCTCACCTCATTCACGCTAGGTTAATTTTTGTTAACAAATCATCAGTTAGTTTTAGTTATATATGAGCCATTCACAGGCCAAACTTGTTACCAGTTTTTTTACCTAGACCTCCATCTAATCTTCACTTCCAAACCAATTAATTTAGATATAATCATACTGGTCACTCACTACATAACTAGTACTGCTACCTAATCAACTCCCACCTAGACTAACCTATAACTCCTGCTACCATGCATCTGCATGATAGCAGTTGTAGCTGGGCTAATCTTTTCTTCCAGAATATTCTAAATTAAATTTATTTTTAATTATTGAATTTAATGAGATGACAGCTTAACCATCTACCTCTAATACAAATTGTTTAATATCTTTTTAATTACTAACCTTATTGTAGCCCAAAATTAATCTAGCTGTATCATTTGATTAGTTAGTTTTAGGATTTTGTTAATATTTTTAATGTATATTTGAAGGATTGTCTGTCTGTTGCTAACCTTTGAGAGAAAATCTTTTGTAGACATAAAAGTTTTGTAAATAGCTTAACTTAGAATTTGATGAATTGTATATATTTGTGTGTTATTTTATGTTTGTGAAAACTGAAGATGGATGAAAGAAGTTCGAAGCAGTTAGTTGCTATTTGTAATTTGTAGGAGGTTTACTCTATTAAAAAGCAGATAAAAGTATAGTTTTATTAGTAGCTAGAGTGTGACTTTGATTAACATTAATTATCTGACATTACTATACTTTATGTTTGAAATAGATAGCTAGATTTAACAAAATTTTAATCTTTTTGGATGAATAAAATTTTATTAAATCTGCCACCTTGAAAATAAATATAGGTTACATATAAAGTATTTACAAAGCTTTTATGTGCAGAATTTCAATTTTAAATGGTAACATTGTTACCTTATTTACAACATCATTAGGTTGTAAATAAGGCAACAATGGTTTCAATTGTGTGATAAATCTTTAAGAGAATTATTTCTGTCCATTAGCAGAAAGTATAATGTATTTGGAACTGAAATTTTACATGGTATTCACAAAACTTTTACACAGTAATTATAATATATGGAGAAAATATTTTTTCTGTGTATATGAGAAATGTTAATCCATTATTAATTTTAAGAATAATTTTTAATTTTGGTGTTTTTAATAATATAAGATTATTTATAAATTACAAGTTTTTTGTTTGCTATGTGTGTTCATTTGAGACACTATTGGTCCAACAGTATATATTAATTTTATTTCGTTTTATTTTAGGGTGCTAGTGCCAAGCCTGTGATTTCATTTATTGCAGGTCTGACAGCTCCTCCAGGTAGAAGAATGGGACATGCTGGTGCAATAATATCAGGTGGTAAAGGCGGTGCCTTGGAAAAAATTCAAGCTTTAAAGTCTTCAGGAGTTATAGTAACACAATCTCCTGCCCAAATGGGTTCAACAATGTTGCAAGTAAGTTGTAAACCAAACATATCTTCTGTTGCAATTTCAAAAGGGTAGTGAGATAAATTGTCATCAGCAACTTAACTGAGCATCCTTGAGAAAATTTATTGCCCAGTTGTTTAGTGATTTATGCAACAAACACTTTTTATTGTAAACAGGAAATATACGCCATCTGAGCTGTCAAGTGCATTCAATCTGTGAATCAACTGAACAAATTAGATGGCGTATATTTCACTGTTTGTGATTTTGAATCCATGTTCCCATCCATCCGCATCGAGCCATGTTTTTGTGTTAAGGGATTTTCTCATCTGAAATATCAACGACTCTTCTGAACATCTTTCCGACATCTTAGAGTTGGCACATCTCATATGTCACTCATCTTTTTTCGTATTTGAGGGAAATACTTTCCTGCAGTCTAGAGGGGTGCCTATGGGTAGCCCTATATCAGGAACATTATGTGAATTGGTGGTCAGGCGCCTCGAACAACAAGTCTTACTTGGCTTTAACGATGACATTATATTATACGCTAGATACGTGGATGACATATTCATTGTTTGGAGGAGAAAACCGGACTTGGCAGCATTTATTGAAACTTTCAATAGCAGGGATGCACAACCTGCGGCCCGCGGGCCACATACGGCCCCTTATCAATGTTTATGCGGCCTGCGGACGGTACAGGCCAAATCCCTTCTTTCGAAGTTTCTAACTAAAGTGTAGAACTTTTCCCTTTCACAAAGTCATTAGCACCCAACTGTTTTATGACTTTCCCTGAGGTGAGAAATGGGGGATTGTTCTATAAATAAGTCTATTTTTAGCTAACACTTTCTGCTTTAGATATCGAATATTTTAAAATGATGTTAGAACGTCATTTCCGATGTTATCGGGAAGTTTCTATTTTGGCGGGAAATCTTCAATTTTATGCTTCGGAAAACTTGCCTATTCGTCTAAATAGCGTCAAATAACAAAAATAAGTGAAAATAGCGCTGAAAAACCATGAAAATAACGATTTTTTAGCATTTGTTTACATTCTAGATTCTGATTGGTATAGTCGAATTTGAATCAATCTTTTCTGAAAAGACGCTTATTCGTCAACCTAATGTCATTCAAACTAGAAAAAAACTAACCAGAGTTCAAAAAGGAATGTACAAAAAGCTATAAAACCAATAATTTACAACAATATCTCTCCATAGACAAAGAATAGAAAAAAAATTTTTCACATCAAATTTATTATTATTAAGTTGGACCAAGAAAATTAATACTGTAGTTGGAATAGAGTCATTACGACTAAAAGGAAGCCATTTGCATTAAAATATTTTGGATTTAATAATTATTACAAACCGCGTCAAGCCATAAACTTGTCAACAAAGAGGGTTGTAAAATGATTCCGTGTAGCTAGAAAGCTGCGGTTTTTTTTGTTTGAAAGAAAACAGATATATTTAGGTTATTTAAGTAGTAAATTAATTGGAACTTTTTATTTACTTTTATTTTTACATTCTTTTTTTCGTAAATTTAAAATTAAATTATTATTTTTAATTTTTATTTTATTTGAAATTTAACAGTCGTAAACTGTGATATATTTAGGACAGAAAAAAAAAAAAAAACAGATTGATTCTAGCGCCAATTTGAAACGAGATATCGCAATTTTAATAATTATATTTAAAATATTCAGATTTTCCACTGCACTGTGTTAATCACTTTTGATTCATTTCTGAACACGGGGGTAAAACTGACGGGCCATAAATATAATTTAGGTAAGAATGGTAACCACATTTATGATGGATTAGTGTCCTGCACCTGGCATGTTGACGATCTGACTCACAAATTCTGAGAAATGGTGGAGACGCCCGGACAGGGGTCGAACGAATTAAGACCTGCCTGGCCACGTGTGCGTAATAGTCTTCTGTCCCCGCCTCTTTAGTCTTTGGTCAGAGTGGATACAGAACAAAGCACGTGGTAGTCTAGCTTGCCTTATCTCAAACATGATTTGTTGCGGGCCTCAGAATTTTCGGCACAATGAGACATTGTTTTGCAGAGTGAACAGTATGGCGCCGGGCATTAAACGCAAGGTCAATCGCGAGAATCATCAGTTTCAAGAAGTGGAAGTGTGGACTAACAAGTACTGTTTTGTGCAACAGAACAACAGCATTATTTGCCTTTTGTGCAATGGAACAATAGCAGTGCCAAAAGAATTCAACCTGAAGCGACATCATGAAAGCCAACACAAGGATTTCCTTCTGCAAGGTACGGAACGCAAACGGAAAATCGAATCGTTACGACGATCACTAATCAGCCAACAAAATGTGTTCAAGAAACAATCTGGAGAATTGGATGCGGCTGTTGAAGCCAGCCTAGAAATATCTGCTTTAATAGCCAAGAATGGGAAACCTTTCACAGATGGCGATATGATAAAAAAGTGTCTTATCATCGCAAGTGAGAAGATGTGTCCTGAGAAGACAAAGTGTTTTCAAACAATCAGTCTTAACCGCATGACGATACAACGGAGAATCTCGCAAATTGCATCAGACATTTCTGGCCAACTTAATATTTTAGTTGCAAACTGTGCTTATTTTTCTTTGGCTGTGGACGAATCCACTGACATATCATCAACAGCACAAGTGATTGTGTTTATTAGAAGTGTTTCACTAGATTTTATTGTGAATGAAGAATTTCTTGGCATGGCATCACTTTCCGGACATACAACTGGTGCTGACTTACTTACTGGTTTATTGAGCGTTTGCAACAAATCAGCACTGGACTTTGACAAGCTATCCAGCATTGCCACTGATGGAGCACCATCTATGGTTGGATGTGAGAATGGCATGGTCACCTTGCTGAAAAACCACCTTGGGGACAGGCAAAAGGAGTTAGTCCAGTATCATTGCATAATTCACCAACAGCAACTTTGTGCAAAGAAGCTGGGATTTGAACGTCTGCTGAAAGATGTCTATGATACTGTGAACTTAATCCGCCGTCATGGACTCAACCATCGACTCTTCACATCATTTCTTGAAGAAATAGATGCTGATTATGCTGACCTGCCCACGTATACTGAAGTTCGTTGGCTGAGCAAGGCAACAGTCCTCAAGAGATTTGTGGAGCTATTGGGGCCTATTATCACTTTCCTCAAAGAACGGGGGAACACTACAAGGAATTTGGAGGGACAAAGATGGCAGTGTGATTTAGCTTTCCTTGCTGACATTACTGCTTATCTAAACGACCTTAATTTGAGATTGCAGGGAAAGATGCAACTTGTTTCTCAGTTGACAAGTAACATCAATGCATTTATGACCAAACTATCACTTTTCAAGTCCCACATGCAATCAGAGAACTTTACACACTTTCCACATTGCAAGGCCATGAAAGAGAAATACCCACATATGAAGATGGATTACTCTGACCAAGTTAACACCCTCCTTACATCATTCAATGAGAGGTTTGGTGAATTCCAGAAATACAAGATCTACCTGCAACTTTTTTCAACTCCATTTGATGTGAAAGTGGAAGATGCCCCTCCAGATGTCCAACTTGAGTTGATAGACATCCAGTGCAGTGATGAATTGAAATCACAGTTCAAAAATTCTAATCTCCTCACATTCTACAAAGAACTGCCAGATACATCATTTCCAAAACTGAAAGACAATGCTCGATTTTGTGCAAGCATGTTTGGCAGTACCTATGTATGCGAACAGGCATACATAGGTACTGCCAAACAAGCTTGCAAGTTTTCGCTTATGAATTTAAACAAGTGCAAAACACGGAACAGGTTAATCAACGAGAATTTGAAAAATCTGCTGGTTGTTTCAACATCTGCCATTACACCAGACATCAAGAAGATTGCTGCCAGCATCCAATCTCAGCCATCGCATTAATCGCTTGGAGGTCCGGCCCCCAGTCAGTAAACTTAATCCTAATTTGGCCCTTCTTCACAAAAGGTTGTGCATCCCTGCAATAGTAATGCTTATGGCCTCTCGTTGAGGGCTGAACAGCAGAGCTCCACCAACGTGCATTTTCTTGATATTGACATTAGCTTACAACAGGGTCGAATAACAACTAAAGTATACCGTAAGAGCTCATATGCACCTCTTTTTATACATGCTCAATCACATGATCTGGTTAGTTACAAGATCTCTGCTTTTAAGACCCTAGTAAGAAGAGCTTTCACCCATTTTTCAAGCGCGGAAGATAGAGAAATGGAAGTGGAATATTTCGAATGTGGCTAGACTGCATGGTTACCCTAAGTGCCTAATTAAAACACTTATAGCACGCCACCAACAACCTAACAGTATGGCACTTCAGAATAACCAGTCCTTCGTTCATATTACTTACAACAAGATCCTTTATAGCACCTACAAACAAATCGCACGATATGCTGGTAAAAATATCGCTTACAGGAGATCGCAGACCATTTTCTCCTGTTTACAAAATGATAAGGACCGTCTTGATAGGAACTGTGTTCCGGGAATATATTCTATCCCTATTTACGATCATAGGGTGAATTGTCCAGGCGAATATATTGGGGCTACCGCATGCTGCCTTAAAACAAGGGTCAAGGAACACAAGTACTCAATTCAAAAATGCCTTTCCAATACGGCTTTGGCCACTTTCGCGCTTGATGATGACGTCAGGGTGGAATTTGATAATGCACGTTTAATACAACGGTGTGAACACCAGGCCAGCCTGAATTATCTAGAACAGCTGGAAATTTTTAAAGCGTTCGGAAAGGGAACAGCCATCAATTTCAAGGAAACAGATTCTTTGGCGACGGCGTGGAGGGCGTATTATGACGTATAATGGATGCGCACCATATATGTCTACACTATAATATAAACATCGGATTTTTGAAGCAGGAAACGAATTAAGGCCCTGCATCGGAACATGCGCATAACTGCAATGTTCGATTTTTTTGAAATCTTGGATTCGAACCTGATGATGACCGTTGAAGACAGTAGAAAACGTTCGTTTTTGAAATGAATTTATGCTGATATGTTGGTAATTTCGTGGTTATGTTCTGAAATTATTGTCATTTTTATATTATATTTGTGCATATACAGCATAGTTGATATGTATAATTTTTTCCTTTTACAATAAATTAAAAAAGCAATATTGTACCAAAGTGTACAGAAAGCCATCACTGGTACTTCATGATATGATAGCTCATAAATTGGCAGTTTATAGGGCCCTACTGAAAAAAGCAGTCACACATTCAACCTACCATGAGTGCAGAAAACAAGAACTCAGAGGTTAATAATTGATGCAGCATGTATGTGTAGTGTTCTGCAAAAAATGATACAGTGTTAGAGCTTATCTGAATCAGACAGACAAAAAAGGCAATCTGCAACTGAAATAAAAAAAATGAGGAAATGAAAAAGCATTGCATAGTATATATTGTATTAATAGTATTAATAGTATTATCATTCATGCAAAACAATAGCATGAATGATAACACTATTAATGAAAATAAATACAATAAGACCCTGTTTAATGCTGCCTCACTTAACACTGATTCAGTATAACACAGTCTGCTCAAAGCCTAAAAAAACTCAAAATTTATGCTGATTTTGGTTCATATATAATACAATTATTTATGAACATGAACCAATCAAAAAAGATGGCAAAAAAGTTTACTTTCTTTAAATCTACGTTTGTTTGGTGCAATTTTGGAAAAAATATAACATCATGGATGCCACAGGAAATATCGACTTTGCTTGGCAAGAATTAACTGATAAAGGCACAAACGAAGTGTGGAATAAGTTATGGCTAAAGGTATCCAAGAATTCTCAACGAGAAGAACCTATCGCTGTATCGTTAGGTTGACTAAACTCAACCTAATCGATACAGCAGGACTAGGAGATGTAGACGAGCAGGATATTGAGGAGTTACTGCAGGTTTCTGGTGAGAGCCTTACCAATGATGACCTTCAAGAACTGGCAGAATGTGAAATTCATGTGGAACTGGAAAATAGAGATTCTGAAAACAAAGAACCCAAAAATTTCTCTACAGATTTCTTTAGTAAAAGTTTGGTAAGATAACCGAAATCATTGATCAAATTGTAGTGAATGATCCAGATTTTGAAAGGAATGCAAAAGCAAAATGAGGCATTTTAGATGCAATCTTCTGCTACCAACATTTGCTTAAGGAAAGAAAAAAGCAACAAATGAAACTTCATGACTCTATTGCAAAAGAACAAGAATTTCAGAAAAGTCAGAACACAAAAAANTTTATTGCAAAACAACAAGAATTTCAGAAAAGTCAGGACCTTCATCACAAAAAATGAACTTTACATTTCTGTGTGCATATGTTTGTGTGTTGTTTAACATTTATTATTATACAAATTAATATAAAAATAAGTTAAAATTAAAGTAAAGTTTGTCTATTTTTGGTCGTGTGTTCTCCTATCGCTATTTACTCTATGTTAAAATGACCTCATTTAATGCTGTTTCATTTAGCACTTTTTCGTCTAGGAACACATCCCATGCCTTAAGTGGGGTCTTACTATATATATATAACATCCAGATAGTGATTAAAAAGATTGTCTGCTCTAATTATCTATATAATTGAAGATAAAGAGGAAGAGGAAGTGAAAAAGCCAGGAATGTATGAGATTGGATTAACAAAGGGTGTAAGGAATTTTTCTACACAGTATCAACTTACAGATCTGTGAATCTCAGGGTTAAAGAGCATTTTGAATCCATCACTCAATACCCCATTAACAGCACAATTTTAATACAATGTGCCACAGAGAAAGAAGTAGAAGTAAGTTGGAAACAATCAGTAATACTTAGAAGTTAGTATGGCATTAAGAACAGAAGGATTCTGGAGCAATGTTTCATTTACATATTAATTAAAAAAGCATCTTAACATCACTAATGTGCAGGACACTAGATCAGGGGTGGCCAACAGTTTTTGCCCCCAGGCCAAATTGGAAAGAAAACTTTTTTCATGGGCTGAACCAGAGGCTGCCCTAGGAAGATTTTGAGGTGGTGTGAGATCTCATTGTGGTGTCACCCTGTAGAGACTAAATTGTACATAGAGATTACAGATACATTGTTCACATTATCAGCTTTATCAACATTCTACACTGTGCTGAAGACATTTGTAATGAAGCGTTAACTCTAAACGCACAGTTAGTTATTGACCTTCTTTTTAGGCATTAGACTTTTTCACCGATCTATTCTGACTTGAGTAGCTAGTATTGAAAGATTAATCGCGGGCCACATGAATCTATTACACGGGCCATATGTTGGCCATGCCTGCACTAGATGGAAGGGAGTACTGGAAACAAGAAATTGTGAGGATATAATTAAACATTTACAAGACAGAAAAATGAAGGAGGCAGTATGATATACCAGAAGACTTAAAAGTTAATTTTAGCTGCTGTGCATGCATGGAGTTTGTTTTTACAAATTTAGAATGAAAATGTGTAGTTTTAAATATCATTTGATCTTCATAAACAATTGGAAAGTTCAAATTTAGTTTGAACAGTGACTGATATTCATTACGAAGCTGAAGTTATCCTAATATAAGATGAAAATGTTCTTTTATGGTAAATTTAAATAGTTGGCTACTTGAAATAAGCATTTAATGTAGATAATAATATAGAGCGAGAAACCCATGAAGTAATATTTATTAAATTAATTTAATCTCCAGAATTTAGTAATAATCTATAGCAACCATAATTAGACAGACTATAGTAATTTTTTCTATTTGAAACATTCAAGTAGGGATCTGCTGTCACTGATTTATTACTGGAAAGACAAGTGATGAATCTTTAATTTTATTATATTTTCAGTTTGTCTTGTGTTACAAAACTTAGATACAAATAAATATTAATGTGAGTAAAAGTCTGTGTGAAAATGTGGATTTCCATCCTGATATATCTGCCAATGTTCAAAACAGTGTTAATAAAAATACAAAATTACTTTAGAATGATTTTAACAGGTAAATGCACTATATCGATAGTCTAATCGCTATCTGTATCATTATCTAAAGATTTGTATCTGTTTTGATCCTTGTATGATAGAAAAATTTGAGGATTTTTTTCTTTGGGGTTTCCTATTTTAATGCTGGAGGTATAAAAAAATTTTTTGTTTGATAGTGTAATTCACATGCAAGTTGTAAGGAATACTTTTTCTTTAGTATATTCTCGAAATAAAAGCAATTTTAACCTGATTTTCTGTTTGATTTTATGCAAGTATGACCAAATTTTTTAATGAAAATGAATAAGTTTTTAGTTGAATAAAAACAATTGAAATTTTTATCTCTTTGTAAAAATTTTTATATTATATTCATATTCAATAGAAGATTTTTCTTAATACAATTTTAATAAAAATATATTTTAAAAAATTATTAATTAATACTTTCTATTGCAGGAAATGCAAAAACGTGGACTGGCTTAGCAGTGGGATGAACAGACTGATTCTCGGTCAACAAGATAAGTTTTGTTCCATGTTCCCGACATTGTAGAGAATAGGTTGCTTTTGTCTGAAAATTTAGTAGGTCTCAATATGCATCATAAATTTTGTCATAAAATAAATATACAAAAGCTGGATTATTCAGCATTCTGTTATGTTCATTCGATCATTAAATGCTCTATTTTTGGTAATAGATTGATCATAGACTAGTTCTATTCCAAGAGATTGCCAGTTATAGTATTGTTTTTGTTAGGATTTAAGTTTGTAACAATGCAGTCAAGTTTAAATGGCCTAATCATTTGCCATATCTATGAAACTCAAACTTTAGTGATTTGAAGGGTCTCAACTTGATATTTTCTATAAATGAGTTTGTTGAATGAAATGACGTGTCTCATTTTGGAAAAGTTGTTCCTATAGTAAAATTATGAAAATATAATTTAAGTTTGAAAAAATTGATACTTTGTTAATGTTAAGGCATTTAATCATTGTTGCAATTCTAATCATGTTTATAAGTTGTTATAAAATAGACAGAAAAATAAAATAAGCAATTTATTATAAAGAACAGACTGTTTTGCATTGTTCTGAATGTAACAGTTTAGCCATCATCACATTTAATACTCGTGGCAATATTTGTATCATTAGGTTTATAAACTGTAGATTATTAATGTGAATAAAATGTTCTCAGTTTTTTTGAAGTGGTGATTCTTAATTCAAATTTGACAATTGTTACAAATTTTCTCTATATTTTAAAATTGTTTAAATAGTATCAAGACAAAAATATTGATTGACAAACTTAAAAGGGTCAATTTTGTTTATTATACAATTACAAAAGTACAAAATTAAGTAAATGTGTCTTATTATTCTAAAAATTTTTCATTCATTCATATAATAATGAATTCAAATGATTATTCTTGAATCAATTCTATTCAGAGCAATATTTGAAATACATTACCAAGAAGAATATTTATTGTAGTAATCAAAATTTTAAAATTATTTGTAAAAAATATAATTACTCTAGCAATAAAATGATAGAATATATTTTTATTATGAAAAGTTAATCTACTTAACAGCTATTTTCGACACACTACAGGAAATATTTTAAAATCTCTTGCCATATTGAGACTTGATAAAACAATGAAAAGAAGACAGCTTAGTTTACTTAATGCAACATATACCTTATAGGAAAAACGTCATTAAACTTATATTTCTGTATTCACTGTTGAACTGAAGATTCTTAAAGCAGCTTTGAGAATAAAGTCGATTTATCTGAATTTTATCTTTTTCATATTATAAAATCAGCAAATCTGAGTGGCATTTTGCAAAAATATATTGATAACCAATTTCTTTGCTCAATTGCTATAATTAGATTAGAGTATACAATGAATACTGGTATAAAATATTAAAGTGAATATATACAGAAACAGATTTATATTATTAAAATTATATTATCCTAAATAAAATATATTAAAACTTTTGTAAAAATTTACTTTTCTGGCTGCTATACAGAGGGAAAGTATGGTGATCCGGAAAAAAATGCCCCCCCTTAGATTTTACATTTTTGGACTCAGGACACCTTGAAACGTCGAGAAATGCAAAAAAAAATTCGGGGGTTTTTCTGTATGTATGGATGTTAGTGTGTATGTGGGGGGCATGATTTTGTTCACCCTGTTTGAAGCTTAACTCATTTACTTTTTGTCGAAAATGTATGAAATTTTGCAGGGAAGTTTATTAGGGGATTGATATTGTTAAATTTTAGTGATTAAAGGTCGAGGGGGGTGGGCAGATAAAGGAGGTCGCGTGTATCTCCAGTAGGGTCGGACTTCGTGACGATTTTACTGGTTATTGGCATTTACAATTTTTTATAAAACCCGTCCTTACCCTCAAAATTAAGCTTTTGAGGGTAAGGATGGGTTTTTGTCATCCAAAGTTGTCATTTTATAATAGTTAAAAATATAAAAAGTGTTTTAGTAAAATATAACAGATTGATTGCGTCACCAAATGTTGCCGGGAAAGTTGATCAACTCGTTGCTAGACTTTTTATATAAGAATGTCAGATGATAAATATTTGTGTAAATTGCTGTTCCTTGAATAGTTTTATTTATATAAATTGTTTTAAAAAATCGATTTGTGGTATTTGTATTAAACGTATGTAACACGTAATGACGACGAGAAACACATTTATTGTTTTTCGAAATTCATTTACAATTAAGAAATTTCACAATAAAATGATATATTAAATATCAAAATATTGTAGCATTTTTGTAGATTCTATAAAAATTGGGTCAAGGAAAACACTGTTTAGATGTTAATCAAAATTATACTTATTTAATAAATAAATTGATAAATACTGATAGAAAATGTCACGATTTAAGTAATGTATTAATTTTTAGATTCAGAAATGTCTCGTTTTTAAGATCGTACGTCTGTGGTGTAGATCGGAGAAGTTTTACGAATTGAAAACGGCAGTAGTGTTTCTAGTGAAAAGGGAAAATATTGACCTCAATGACGTACTTTTCCTCTACGTCACTGTGGTAAACATTCTAACTTATTTTAAAATGTGGATATAAATGAACTTATTTCTGTTAATTTGTAAGACATACCTTCTGGTTTTGGCAATTATGTGATTCATGTCGTTTTCTACTTGTTTATAATCTTTTTGTATCTATTTTTGTTCTGTGTTTTGTATACATCTTTCCTAGATAAAGGAGGATTTCTCCCACGTCGAAACAGAATTGTTGTTAAATGCCTAGTGTAACTTCTTGGAATTTTCCGTCTTTTATTTTTCAAAAACTAAAAGATTTTGATCCACCATAATAGAAATGTAACATTCGTCTATTCACAGTAGAAGTAGATTTATAGATTGCTTTTCTATTTATAAATTACAAGAGATAACGGTAGATTAAATTTCTTCAAAAATAATTAAACGTTAATGGATATCGACCGTTTAAATATTAAAATAATCATTTTGATAAAGTAATTTTGATGATTTTATCAAAATTAGTTTTTGTGAAAAATAAAACCACAAAGAAATTTTCCTTCATTTTTTCTACAAGGACAATTTCTTTCCAAACTTAGAGTCGACATTCCGAATAATTAAATAGATTATTACGATTAAATCTTTCTAAGTATTCGATGGTTACATGAAAATTACGCAAAATTTTATGATTTATTTCATTTTCGTTCCCGAATGAAACTTTTCACCGCTTTTTTCTTCCTCTCTCTTTTAAACGATGAGGAGAAAGTCAAAAATATAACTTCTCATACAATTTATTAATATGATGTGACCTTCAGGATACACGCAAAGAAAACTGGTTTTAATATTGTGTTTTGTTAACAAGAGAATCGATTTATTATCACAACTCGAATATTTCGAAATTTAATGTTAACTTACGAGTGGACAAGGAAGAACGTTTATATCGAGCTGCATGACACCGAGAGATAAGAAGCGTTTGCATATGTCGGACCCATTTTCAATGAGAATATCGAATCAGTAATAGATAAGAAATAAAGACTGTTTTGCGTAGGCCCACAACGCGGAAAAACTTCAAAATAACTATAAAACTGCGAGATGAAACTAAATGAAGCAATAAAGTCTGAAAAGTAAAGAAATATAAAAGGACTGTAATAAAGTAAAATCTCTTTTACGATGTATTGGGCACATTTTTCTACTAGAAGACTTAGAAATTTTATTTTTTTATTCAAATATTCTTTACAAAATAATAATTTCACTGTTTCGTTGAATATATACAAATCGAGTATAATAATGATATATTTTCTTCATTTTTAAATTTTTACGAATTTTCCAAGTTCATTTAATTTTTAAACATGCTTTGTATATACGAATCATAGTCAATTATACTCTGACTAACCAAACTTGTTTCCTCAAAGGACTTATTAGTAATTATTTCATCATTTCATCAAACTTGTTTTTATTGAATACTGTATTACGCTTCCAATTCAGCGTATTTAACATTTTCTTAAAACTCCTTTCTTAAGGTTCTTATTTACGTAATTATTTTTTCATTTTACTTTCCCGGCTGTTATAATAGAGGGAAAATATGGTGAGCGGTCAAAAATGACCACCCAAGATTTTTACATTTTTGGACTCTGGATCTTGAAACGTCGAGAAATGTAAAAAAAAAGTCGGGTTGTTTTTCTGTATGTGTGTATGGTAGTGTGTGTGTGGTGGGGGCACGATTTTGTTTACCCTGTTTGAAGCTTAATACTGTAACTCAGCGCTGTCCAACTTATCATAGCCCGCGGGCCATATTTTCTTCACCAAACATTTCGGGGGCCAAGAAGGTTGATAAATGAAAAGTCAGTTTATGTTAATTAAAAAAATATTTTATTTATACTAAAAAGAAAACTTTAAAATATTCGTAATATATTAATGAGAACATTGTGGCCGTAATTTTCACATAGTAAAATAATTTTAATATTAATAATAATAATTTAGTAACATAAATTTATTCATAGTAAAATGTACTCGCGGGCCGTAAAAATTATTTGGCGGGCCGTATACGGCCTGCGGGCCGCCAGTTGGACAGCCCTGCTGTAACTCATTTGCTTTTCGTCGAAAATTTCTGAAATTTTGCAGGGCGGTTTATTTATTAGAGGAATCGATACTATTAAAGTTTGGTAGTTAAAGGTCGAGGGGGTGGGGAGATAATGGAGGTCGTGTATATCGAACTTAATGACGATTTTACTCGTTATTAGCATTTACAATTTTTTAAATAAAAACTCATCCCTACCCTCAAAATTAAGTTTTTTTCGTTTTATAATAGTTAAAAATATACAAGTCTTTAAATAAAATATGATAATAGATGGCTCTACAAAATTTTAAATGTTGCCGGGAAAGTTGAGAAACTCGTTGCTGGTTTATTTTACTCTCCACCCTGTAGGGACGAAAACAGTCTTCTTTCCATACTCATAGTGGATTCTGTCAGAAGCACCCAGTCACTCCTCATAATGGGGCAACCGGTGGTGAGAGAGGGAGCTCATTATATCCGGGATTTACCGCATATAAAAAATTCCTATGATGAGACCTCTGGATTTGATCTCGAGTTTCTCAGAGTGTAGGATGTCGCCTCAGCTACTCTGATTATTCAACCATCAATATCTAATAATTTTACGAAAATTTTATTGTTTATGTTTTCTTTTTGGTTTTCATCGTCATATGATTAATTAATGAGTTAGCGTTTACCAATATCCCATAATTTCTATATACAGCCGCATTCGCTTTAAAAGAGCACCTTCGGGACCGCTGCGACATGCTTCCATATCAGGACTATTCCCTAATCCGAAATAAACAAGATCAATCAGGTATTCGAATTCGATCTTAAGAGCTATCTCTATAATAGGCCTATAGAGCTAGCTCTTAAGATCGAATTCGAATACCTGATAAGTTATATTATAATCGAATTCGAATACCTAATAAGTTATATTATAATTTATAAAACACTTGAGAACATTAAAATTATCACGTAATAATTTCAACAATTCTTGCTGAAAAATATAGGCCTAGATATTTCCTGGGGTCGAGCTGTAAATCAAGGTTTTATTTTAACCCAATAAATGACGTCCCCCTTCTAGTGTGGACGTCATTTATGGACAGCCCCTTATCCTGTCTCTAACTTCATTAGCCTAAATTATTTCCGGTACATTCTTCCTTGAATATTCAGGTGTAATATCTTTA